GTAAATCAATAGTTTCCTATCGCTTCAGCAGACACTCTAAACTTGTGGGGAACTTCACTTACGACATCTCCGAGCAGGCGTACAGTTACGTTACGTATCTTCCCGCGCAAATGTTTTGATAATACTACCTCTAGAGTGACGTCATCAAGTCAGCACTTACGCCACTCGCAAGTCAATTTTGCGTACTTACGAAATTTTGATAATACGGCCCCTGGTCATTTTCGCTACTCAACGAGCATTCCGAACTCGTATTCCTCTGATTTGGCTCTCTGCGATTTTTTCAAGGGGCTATCTTAAATCAATTGTTTACAATAACAGTCCAAGGACCCTACCTCATTTGTAGAACAACGTAAGCCAAGCCATCGCCAACACACCCGTCAATATGCTTCAGTTAGTAGACCGGAACTTCAAAAATTGTCTAAATGCATCGACAACTGAAAAAAAACTGAATGCATTGACAATGGGGGCCATCATTTGTCCGAAGTCACCTTTACAACTAAATGATACAAAAATTCAGGTAATGTCTTTTCAATAAAATTGATGTTGTAATGATATCTTTACTACTTTTTTTGAGCTTCCAATCAGGAGGTTTTAGTGAATCACCCTGTATTTGGTTGCTTACAAAATAACATTTTGACCTTGTACTGAGCGCGACAAGTACAATGCGGTATGTGAAATTGATGCGTTATGTGAAAATGAAATTTATAATTAATTGGTGTGTGTATGGTAAGATTTTTCAGGCGACATTCGTGTAAAAGTACGTCTCGAGTAAGTGTACGTCTCTGCAGGCCCGAGGTCCCACAGACTCCCTCCGCAACAGACAGACGAGCTGAGAAGCTGCCGGGCAAAGCAAGAAAAGGTGTGAGCTACAAAGCACCCGATGAAGGTGAGGTGGTACCTAGACGAACAATAATGGGAAATTAATTAATTAGCTCGTACACTTTTCATCTCAGATGTTAAATGATGCTAAAATTTTGTCGATATATGACTTTTCAGATTCCGGAGATGAGTCAGGAACCGACAATCCCATATATGCCAAAGTTTTGCGCAAAAAACTTTCCAAGGATTCTTCTCCTGAAGTTCAAGATAAATCCCCAAAGGAAAGTTTTTCTAACAATGTGCCTGCCAGCATTTCAGGAGAAACAATCTCGCCGTCTAAATTGGTGCCAGCAAAACTTGCTCTTCCAGGAACAAAACATCCTAAGCCAAGTCCAAGATTCAGCGTCACGACCAGGACACGAGACATCAACATCGAGGAGGGAAAGCTCGGTGTTGCCAATATGACGTTCGTCGGTGCGTGGGTTTTTATTTATGAACTTTTATGGTTATATATAATATAATTTCTTCTAGCTCGTACAGTAAAAACTCATTTAATACTTTGTGCTATGAAATTTTTGAAAAATTTTCTTTCATTTAATCCATTCGTATGGATTAAGCTCTCTTTTTGATTTATGCAGGTAAAGCGGACTTATTAAAAACGTCAAAATTCATTTGATAAAATGGTTTAACTTTTGCCTAATTGATTGAAAATTTGCATGGATTCAAGAGTTTCAATTAATTATATCTACAGTATATTTTCATAAATTATTTAAACAATAATGATACGAGTAGATTACATCTCGTGCGGTTTTGTCTAATTAAGGAAAACATTTTTCTTACTGTTGCACTGGCGTCAACACGTGTTCCCTCTGCACGCCAAATTAATCAAGTTATACGCTTCTGTGCAGTATTCAAATTGGCGTGTTTAAACTTTTTACGCAGATAAATCTTAATTTTAAAATTTTAACCCACATCTTCAGGTGATTCGGAAGAGGCGCTACTGCCTGAAAATTTTTTGGACCCTGGACCTGCGTTAGCATCTCCGAAACGCACATCGTTGCCAGCTGTGGACCCATTCGTTGCGTGAGACTCTACCTTGGTTTCATTACTTCGCTGGATAAGTTTACGTACGCTCTGGCACTGATGACACGTTTGAAATTAGGCAATCTCTTTTATTAAAGATATTATTTTAAAGATATTGTTGTCACGTCATCACGAGCTAATGAATTACTTCAGAGTATACGAACATGAAAAAATTTTAACATTTGAAGCAGATGCAAGTCAAGCGACGCTGTGAAGGGCTCGAAGGTCATGGAGTCCAACATGGAGACGAGACTAGACATCGCCCTGGCAACCTGCTGCTCATGGTTGGGTCTCCCCTTTTCCTTCCTGGCACTCTTTTTGCACCACTCCATTCGGTGAGTGCTGCGCCTTGGCAGACAGTGAATGATTGACAAGAATACGCTGACGGTAAAACAGTTTAGTTCAATAATTTCAAAATGCAGTGTTGTATATGAGATATATTCATGACAATTTTCTTTGCAATTCATGTTCAATAGTGCCAAAACGGCACACATTTTACGGTTATCAGCTGAGCAAAAGGAGGGTTCGTACGGATTTAGGTTACTAGCGACTGAATACATGGCACACATACTAGGGGTAACTAAGTAATATGGGATTTGGTACAGATCTAGGTTAGTAGTGGCTGAACACATGACACACATTTTAGAGGTACCTAATCACATGGCACACATGAATCGGAATCGAAATCCCTAGAATCGAAGGCTTCTCAAGAATCGTGCAGCGAGTCATCGATTAAGGACAATTTACTAGTACAATAAGTTAGCCTTTCACTTCAGCAAGGACAGCATGTGGTGAGTGAAGGCCATGATCGTTGGTGAGCGAAATAGAGGAAAAGAACCTCGGTATCGTTTCAACAAAAACAGTGTACGGTTGTGCTTCACTCTAGAATCTAGATGGAGTGTGTAATATATAACCCATAGTGTAAAATTTAGAATTGAGGAAGTTATAACGTAGCAGGTGGTGTATCGGACTAACGCGAGTACTGAAATAATGTACAGATTATGGAAATCCTTTTGATCTTTCGTTTGCTTCTTTACACTCTCCATTAAAGTGCCAGGTTTGTTCAACGGGTTTTGAAAAATCAGCATTCCATGAGCAATTTTGAGGGTGAAATGGTTCGTTTTTTCTACTTGAAATCATAAACTAGTGTACACTCATGAAGCAAACAATATCTTATTTCAATTAAAATTTAACTCAGTCAAAAATAATACCAAATCATAGGACAACAGAATAAAAAATTAAAGTACAAGTTTTTAAATTAATTGAATAAATAAATGTATAGAGAGTGTTGATATTTCAAAACAGTTATCGAGGCACTGTTTTATGGGGTATTCGACGTCTACGGGGCAAACTTTTTGATGTCAAAATCATATTAACGGGCATGCAATTTTACGCAATAAAAATGTTAAGAGAAAACACTGAAAACCGTCTGCATAACAGCTCTTCTTTGGGGTACGACAAAATTTCTTTTTTTTTTGGGGGGTGATGACGCAAATGAAAGATCACGAGAGACATAAGTAAATTGGGTTCTATAAATGGTGATTTCAGTTCCACGTGACAATTTCACAAATAGGAAGGAGATATAGCGACGCTTTTTAATTCAACCAACACTAGAGAGTTTTTTCACGGTGCTCATAAGTTTGAAGATAAAAACTGAACCGCTTTGCGTTATTCTGCAAATAAAAAAACTCACAGGTATAATCCATATTTTCTCCGGGGTAACATATAATCTAATAATTCTAATTTCAGTTTGATTGAAAGATTTCCGTGTACAGGTTGATTCTGCAACGGATATTCAAGCCACTTGTGCTGGACTCCATTGGACTCGTCCTCAACCTGGGGCTTCGTCCGGCAACGAACGCAATTTACTTTCCACTGACTGCTTTCCTGACTTCAGTGACATCTGCGGCTGGCAGCGCCGTGTCGCAATGCATCGCTCCTTGCATCGACTTGCTGCGCGCCACCAGACTGGTCGAGATCAATCTTTATGGGCCGTCTCCTCGGTGCTACCAACTAGGAAAAGACAGAACTCAAAATCATTCTCTTCATCAAGTGTAGAGTGTATAAAAAAATCAGCCAGGCTTTTCGAAATAAATCTTAATTTTTCTGCTCCTAAGTGCTACCAGCACCGCGGATGATTTTTCTCTTCGACGCTCACACGAATTTGAAAATTCCTTCAGTTATCGGGACAGGTTGACATCTGACGTAAATTTCTGATGTGACATCTACCTAAGGGCCCTAATATTATTGAGCACATATATTGACGACTGCCTTCTGTCTGGCACATGGCCTCGATAGTGGTATTGATGTATACTTAATATGGTTGAGGGTATAGTATCGATGACTATTTGACCAGCCAATATTAGTGGGAGTAACATTGATTTCTACTAGTTACGTTAAGAGTGGCCTGATATTATTGACTAAATAAAATGGATGACTGACTAATATTGGCGTATATATAGGGAAGATTAGCTAATGTTATTGAGAGAAGCCGAATTTTAGAGAGGAGTGTATGTGATTATGAACGCATGAAAGTACTTTGCATCCATAAATTACGTTATGAAATTAAATTAATAGGATCCTGGAAATTTTAAGAAAACGAGACACATGTCGAGTTTATGAACAGACTACACATTCTTATGGAAATTGACTTTTCATTGATCCGTTTTTATATATTAAATGCAGAATGACTGGAGGTTCTAGGTCAACAAAAAAGATTCAACCAAATGAAATCAAGGAATATGATATTAGACAAATGATACGCACTTTTCGTCATATTGGGGCCTCTGGCAGGTCTCACTTTGAGACGATGGTTATAATATTTTAGAAACGTCACATTCTCGCCTTACGCTCTCAAGCTGGCGAAACTGAAGTATAGGCCAGTGACACTGAAATGCACAAAGCACACACCTCAATTACATATAATACCTATGCCCGAAATTATGATGCCTATAATTTTGCAAAGTACAAGGACGGCGCAAACGCCTCAGATCATATTGAGACTATTAACGGGTATTTCAGTGAAGTCGGTGCGGATTTAGGTTCCTAGTGACTGAAGACATGTCGCGCAGTCCAAGGATAACTTCACAAAACATAGCTTTGTGCTGATATTAATCTCTAGTGACTGAGCGCACGACACACATTTCAGTGGTACCTAAGCATTGCAGGAGTGGGATAAGACTTATTGTATTAGTTACTGAACACAGAGTACCCATTGCATTGAATAACTATGAAGTACGGGGTCAGTGCGGATGCAGGTCCCTACTGACTGAACACATAAACACATAGCACGCATTCCAGGGATGGCCACGCAGTATGGAGTTCGGTTCTGATTTGTGTTGATAGTGACTGAACACATGGCAAATATTCTTGTGATTCCCGACAGTTAGGGAGTTAGTACGGATTTAAGTTTTTAGTGACTGAAAACATGGCATACGGTCCAGGGGTAGCTTGATATTACAAGGTGTTAGTGTGGATTTAGGTTCCTAGTGACTGAGCACATGGCACGCAGTCCAGAGGTCCGTGCGGACCTAGGTATCTTGTGACCGAGCACAGGGCACACATTCCAGGGGTAACTATATATTACAGAAGGTATTACGGATTTACATTGATAGTGACTGAACATACAGAACGCACTTTACCGGTAACTATGCAAAACGAGAGTTTGTACGGGTTCAGGTTGATAGTGACTGAACACATGGTACACATTCTAGGAGTAACTAAGTAGTACGGCTGGTACGGATCTAGGTTGGTAGTGACTGAACACATGACACACATTTTAGAGGTAGCTTAGCATTACGGAGAGTCAGTGTAAATTTAGGTTTCAAGTCACTGAACACATAGCCAGAGCTGGGCAGCGCTACTTTGAAATGTAGCGCCGCTACCGCTACCGCTGCAAACTCTAAATGTAGCGGGCGCTACCGCTACCGCTATACCCACTAGATTGTAGTGAGCGCTACCGCTACCGCTACAGTAAAATGTAGCGCCGCTACATTAGCCGCTACAACGGCTAAAATTATTGGAAATCTCTAAATATTTATTATTCTGCTATTGGAATTTACTCTTAAACATTTAATGATGATGAAACATTTTCAAAACATATCAATGCAACTTTATTGCAATTAACCTAACCGAACTAGTATGGGTTACCCCAGGGTTAGATACAGTAAATAAAAGTTACAGTTATTTTTATGTTTTACCTTCCCTACATGGATGTGAACTTTAATCTACCAATCTAAGAAATTATCCACATATACATATAAAAATCAGTTTTTTTTGTATATATATGTGGATTATTTTTGAGATTGGTAGATTAAAGTAGACATCCATGTAGGGAAGGTGAAACATAAAAATAACTGTGTAAAAATAACTGTAAGCAAACTGAAAGATGAAAAAAACCTGTAAGTGGTAACTGGTAACAACTTAACAAGTAACAACTAACATGTTGACACTAGTAACAGGCTGAGGTTGACACATTACACCGAAATCTTTCGTACAGTTTAATTCTGTAATTTATATTATGTATGTATCATGCTGGTTTTTAAATAAGATTTAATACTATTAAGTAAAATCTAAAGGCTTTATCTATAAATGTAACGGTAGCGCTGTGGTGGCAATGCCTCGCATCGCTACTTAAATAGGTAGCGGGCGCTATCTCTACATTGCCTTAAATATAGCGCCGCTACCGCTACTGAAAATTTAGCGGCCGCTAGTAGTGGCCGCCACATGTAGCGCGCTACTGCCCACCTTTGCACTTACTACGCAGTTTAGAGCTATCACTCTAGAAGGTTCGGTGCTGATTTAAATTAATAGTGACTGAACACATGACACAGATTCTAGGGTAACTGAGCAATTCGGGAGTTGGTGGTGACTGAACACGAGTCACACATTTCAGGGGCAAGTAATCATCACCTGGAGTCGGTGTATATTTGGGTTGATTTTGCAATACGAAGCGCTGGCTGATTGTGAAACAAATTCTAGGGGTACATGAGCCATACAGGATTCCGGTCGGATTAGGTTGGCAGTGACTGAACATATGGCACCACAATTCAGGATTAACAAAGCGGTGCGGGAGTAAGATCGGATATAGGTTCCTTACGAACTATGGATCCGCGTAATACAGCACTGAGTTACAGTGTACAGTCTCGGTCTCTCGGACTCTGCCAGACTGTCAGGGACGGGAGCGCTGCCGTAGCCCAAAAATTTGACTCTTAAATCAGCCCAAAAGCCAATGCCAACCCTCTACATGCAATAGAAATAGTCAGTCTAATACCTGTAAGAAAACTGAAACAGGAAAAATACCTGTAAGTGGTAACAACTTAACAAGTAACAACTAACATGTTGACACTAGTAACAGGCTGAGGTTGACAACTTACACCGAAATCTTTCGTACAGTTTAATTCTGTAATTTATATTATGTATGTATCATGCTGGTTTTTAAATAAGATTTAATACTATTAAGTAAAATCTAAAGGCTTTATCTATAAATGTAGCGCTGTGGCGGCAATGCCTCGTATCGCTACTTAAATAGGTAGCGGGTGCTACCGCTACATTGCCTTATCCCTAGCAACAATTCGACAATGGGCCCATGAGGGGCCCATGTGACAATGTGGAAATTAGGTGGCATTACGGTTTCAACATATGGAGCCCACATTGATGCTATCTTACTCTGAGTGTGCATGATATTGCTATGTGGCTACAACATTGTACAAATAAGACAAAACCAGCAAAGAAATCAGTGGTGTTGGCCCATATGGTGTACATGTGGAAAACCAAGATAATACTGAAAATCCGAATGTTGGGCTTAATGTCCATCTATTAAACAACTTAGCGAACTCGGAGACAAAATAGTTATAGGAAAACAAATGTTTTAGTTCATAAATCTTATTTTAGTCAATAACTCGAAATTGTTATTGATCTCGAATCAAATTGCGACTATTTGTATGTATTGAACGCACATTTAAGCAATTTAATTATTAAGCTTTCGTTATGAATTTCATTGAATGTTGGAATTTGGGTGTTGAGAAGGCTATTGGAATGTACGTGGGTTCGAACACGTCTCCGACAATTTTTCGGCCGGACTCGCGGGCCAGTCTCCAAGGAATATTTCCGAAACAAATCAACGCAGCTCGATGAAACATGGTACAATTACTCATCAGGACCTAACCGCGATGTTTAGCTCGTGAATCGTGAATATTTTCCCATTTTACCTTCATTCGTGAGCATATACGGCGAAACGGACCGAAATTTGCAGTGACCAAGAAATTTCTTCTAAACTACTGAACAGATTTGAGCGAAACTTTGAATATGCATTAATAACTACCAAACGGTGATGTTTTGCTCGTGATATTTTTTTCGATTTTGCTTTCAATTGCGATATTTTTCAATATCACTTTCATTCGTCAGTTAAACAGCAATATACGGGCTGGAATTTCCAGTGACCAACACATTTTTTTAACTACTGTACAGATTTGAACGAAATTTTGAATACCGGTATAGATTCCTAATCACCCAAAGGTGATGTTTAAATTAGCTCGTGAAGCCGATGTTGAACACAGCAATTTAAACTTGAATTATATGCAATGAAATTCGAATTATTCATTAAAATACTTATACCTACGTTAAATAGTAAATTTAATGAATTGCCGTACAACTCGCAAACTGTGGAAATATCGAAAAAAAATTGTCACGAGCTAAAAATCACCGTTGGTTAGTTAGGAATGTATATTCAAATATTCGTTCAAATCTGTTCAGTAGTTTAGAAGAAATTCTTGGTCACTGCAAATTTCGGCCTGTTTGCCGTATAACTCACGAATGAAGGCGAAATGAAGAAAATTTTCACCTGCTGAATAAGTCCGTTAGGTCCTGCTGAATACGTGTACCAAGTTTCATCGAGCTGCGTTGATTTGTTTAGAAGATATATTCCTTAGTCATTAAATTTGGAGTCCAGCCGTGAGACCGGCCTCGAGTCCAGCCGTAAAATTTTTCGACACATCATTTGAACGGTGTTGTGTGTGTCAGACGCTATTGTTCACGAAACCGAGCGTTTGTTAACATTGAACGTAAGTTTTTCACACACACTACAATATTTCAACCCACATTCCAAAAGACTATCTCAACTACCTATAACACCAACTGGCAGTGAAATTAAAAACGGAATTTATTAATTGAATTGAGCAATTAATACGTTTTATACACGTGATACGTGTATAAAACGTTTATATAGTGTGATAATATGTTAATACAGTGTGATAATATGAAACGTTTATACTGTGTTATAATATAATAGTGTGTGTGATTTACATAGTGTGATAATCGTTGAATTATTCCATAGAATTGCGTGAATATCAATTCATAGAATTTCTTTTACTTTGAACTACTTGAAAATTTTGTAATGCTATACAACGTGACTTGTCTATATTCCACTTACCCTCGAATTTATAGTCTGAAATGTATCATGCACTTGCGTCTGATAAAAATATTTTTTTAAAGCAGTGTAAAACTTGGAGGCGTAACTGTCACGGGCAGTCGGGCACTCTATCGTTCAGTCTCGTTCAGTTCAATCAGTCAGTTGAGTCTTGCCGTGACTCGCGTACGCTTGTCTTTTTAAGTGCCGTGTTTCGCTGTAATGTTCTTTTGTATATTAATTGCCCGTACTGTGTCACTAGGAGAGT